ACGTCTCACGCAAACCACTTTGAAGCCTCCCTGTCCCCTTGGCGCACCTGGTGCGCACCTGGCGCACCTGGCGCGCACCTGGCGCGCTGGGCGCACCTGGCGCACCTGACGCGCTGGGCGCACCTGGCGCGCACGTGGCGCACCTGACGCACCTGGCGCACCTGGCGCAACTGTCGCACCTGTCGCACCTGGCGCACCTGGCGTACCTAGCGCGCACCTGGCGCGCACCTGGCGCGAACCTGGCGCGCACCTGGCGCGCGCCTGGCGCGCACCTGGCGCGCCGGGCGCGCCTGACGCGCTGGGCGCACCTGGCGCGCACCTGGCGCGCCTGGCGCGCGTGGCGCGCCTGGTGCAACTGGCGCACCTGGCGCACCTGGCGCGCACTGGCGCACACCTGGCACACCTGGTGCATCTGGCGCACCTGGCGCACCTGGCGCGCTGGGCGCACCTGGCGCACCTGCCACACCTAGCGCAGACCTGGCGCACCTGGCGCGCCTGTCGCACCTGGCGCACCTCACGCACCTGGCGCACCTGTCGCACCTGGCGCACCTGGTTCACTTGGCGCGCCTGGCGCAACTGGCGCACCTGGCGCACCTGGCGCAACTGGCGCACCTGGCGCACCTGGCGCGCCTGGCGCACCTGGCGCGCCTGGCGCACCTGGCGCACCTGGCGCGCACCTGGCGCACACCTGGCGCACACCTGGCGCAATTGGCGCACCTCGCGCGCGCCTGGCGCGCACCTGACACGCTGGGCGCACCTGGCGCACCTGCCGCTCTGGGAGCACCTGGCGCGCGCCTGGTGCACCTGGCGCGCTGGGCGCACCTGACGCACCCGGCACACCTGGCGCACCTGGCGCACCTGGCGCACCTGGCGCGCATGGCGCATCTGGCGCGCCTGGCGCGCCTGGCGCACCTGGCGCACCTGGCGCACCTGGCGCGCACCTGGCGCACACCTGGCGCACCTGGCGCGCCTGGCGCACCTGGCGCACCTGGCGCGCCTGGCGCACCTGGCGCACCTGGCGCACCTGGCGCACCTGGCGCGCTAGGCGCTCCGGGCGCACCTGGCGCGTCTGGCGCGTCTGGCGCACCTGGCACACCTGGCGCGCTGGGCGCACCTGGCGCACCTGGCACACCTGGCGCACACCTGGCGCATGCCTGGCGCACACTTGGCGCACCTGGCGCGTTGGCGCATGTGGCGCACCTGGCGCGCCTGGTGCGCCTGGCGCACCTGGCGCACCTGGCGCACCTGGCGCACCTGGCGCACCTGGCGCACCTGGCGCACTTGGCGCACCTGGCGCACCTGGCGCGCCTGGCGCGCTTGGCTTACCTGGCGCGCATGGGCTTCTGGGAGGCTCAGCGGAGGCACGTCCTATGCAGATCACCACTATACCATGGCGCCGAAATGTCCTTCGGTATTGAGTGGTCCTGAATGCAATTGCCACTTGTGTAGAGAGGGTTGGATACGTCGCAGGACAATTTTGGTCTGCGGGGCGAGAATGAACCTCTTCCGCTAAAAGCTCGGCGGGCTACGCGCAGCTTTAATTAGGGAGACAGGGCGCAGGAAGGCGGGGCCTCAGGCGGCCAGAGCAAGTGGAGCCTGGGGTGCAGGCGGTGCCGAAGAGCTTGCACAGGAGAAGGTACGCCGCGGACGAGGACCGGGGGCGAAGACCCGGAAGGCGAAGGTGGGGATACACTTTTTGATCTGCGGCTCCAAGGACGACTCCAGAGAGCGGGTCAATCTCGACAGGGGCGCGAAGGTGGGGATACACGAAGCGTCAAGTATTCTCTGTGAACTGCCCGGCCAACACAGAACGCTCGAACGCCGCCATCGGGCGCGAATTTCATGGGGGGCGATAAAAGTAGAGGGGGCAGCGAGGGCTGCCGATAAAAAGAAGCCGCAAGGGCCCCGAAAGCTTAATGGGGCCCTCTGGGGCCCCAGGGGGGCCTACAGGGCCCGAGCATGGCACCTTACAGGGCAGTTTTTCATATATTGGATTTTGTAAGATATAAGATTTTAATAATGAGTAATCGATGAATAAATGTATGCATGAGCTCGTCGTTGTTTTTACTACTAAATCCTTGCATTTTTTAATACATGATCCGCACGCGGAGCATGTATTAAAAACGGCAGTGTAAGGGCCCCTAAAGCTTAAAGGAGCCCTCTAGGGCCCCATGGGGGCCTTCAGGGCCCGAAAATGGCACCTTACTTCCCCCCCATGTATCGCCCCCCAGTGCAGTCGGACCTGGGACAGAAGAGCACCCCTCGAGAACAGGAGGCCCTCCGCCAGCCCAGACCGAAAGAACCTTCGAGGGTGCCCTCCCGCAGGATATGCACAGGAACGCCCAACAAGAACACACGGAGAACATGCTTAGGGTTAGGTCGGGCATGTCCTCCTGCAGGCGGATTTGGGACGACTATTTCTGTAGTTTTGAGCACTCCTTGTGTCGGAGGGACATGCCCGACTTAATATTCGGGTACCCTCTCCCCGAACCGACCTCGATCCTGCACGGTTTCCCACGGGGCCGAAAGCGACCCGAGGAGGAGGAGGAGGAGGAGGAGGAGGAGGAGGAGGAGGAGGAGGAGTAGGAGGGAGAGGAGGAGGAGGGAGGAGGAGGAGGAGGAGGAGGAGTGCAGCACCAGCTGAAAGGGAGTCACCCACTTCGCATGCACCAGCCAAGCTGAGCAAATTTAAACTCGTCCTCCAATTCATCGGGCCCGCGTTTCCTCCTGTCAAGTACCCGCCGCCCCAGCTTTTCAGCCGCGGCGCGGGAGGATAATCCAAACAGCGCGCGCCCACGGACGAGGCCCACCCCTGACACCGAGCCCGGTGCAGGGTCCAAATGGGGACCCTCGTCTAGGCCAACCTTGGAGGCCGTGAAATCCCTAGATGCATCAAAAAGGGCGCTGGCTGACCCTACGCGTCCGTCTCGATGGGAAGGGTTCTTACCACGCAGAACCCAAGCCAATTGCCGTTCTCGGCCTGTAGACCGACTGCCTAGACCATCCGACGCGAGGGCACTGCGACCCCAAGAACTTCCAGGGCGGCCGACCGACACGCAAGTCGTGCAAAAAATCAAAGTCCCCAGATGGTTCCCGTGAGAGACGAGATTGGGGCCTCGAGGCACACGTGACCTCGGGCTCTCCAAGGTCTAAGGCTCGCCCAAGCCTCCTCGCCCGGCACTGGCAGAGGTCCGCTGGCTGCTCTAGCGGCGTCCGCCGCCGAGCTCGTAGGTTCCTCCCCGATGACGGACGACACTCCCGCCCCCGCAGCCGCCCCACCCGTCCCCTCATCGGCATCCCCTTCGAGGGGCGGGCACTCTAGAGTGACGGATCCAAGCCAATCCAAAGAGACGTGATCGAACAAGGCGGCGTCAGATATATGCACCTCTTGCCTGGCCGAGAACTTCGAAACCTGGCGAGCAATGTCGTAGCATCCTAGGATCACGAGGCGGTCTTCTTCAGAGCAGCGAAGCAACTGGGCCCCCTCACGAGCGTAACGGTCGGCCTCCTGGTTGCCGAGCCATTGGCGGCGAGTGAGAAGGCCGCCGACGACATCGTTCTCGGAACACTGACACGGAATCTTACGGACGGCCGTATCGTCCAGCTTGTCGTGGACTTGGGCCCACCAATGGGACCTCAGGTTCTGGGGTCCAGCCGCCGTCCGAGGGTCCCTGGCGCAATCAACCGTGCCAGCACAATCTATATGGAGCTGGACGTCCCGACCCAAAACTGCATTCAGCACCAGCTGGAGGATCGCATCATCTTCTCCCTCGCGGGCTGCCTGGAGGGGTGCCTCGGCCAGCGGCCCCCCCCCCCCCCCCCAGAGAGCGTGCTTCACCACCCCGCCCCCGTCCGTCACCACCACCGCCCGTCCCGCCACCCCAAGACGCGGGATGCGGCCCTCGCAGGCCGGCCCATCCGGAAAAGGCGTGCCAACCCTCGCCCAAAGACAGTCCATCGCCGGACCAGTGCAGGCGATGGAGGTAGCAGGAGGAGGGGCCAGGGGCCCAAGAAGACGGGTCGGAAGAAAGCCCCCCGCGCAAAGAGCTCCTGGGCCCCACTTGGGAGGCGAGCCACGAACCGAGATGCCGTGACGATTTCCGGCGTGAACTCTTCACGCCGCCAGGCCGCCAAACTGGGGCAGGAAAAGCTGGAGGAGGAGAGGGAAGAGCTGGAGGAGGAGGAGGAGGAGGAGGAGGAGGAGGAGGAGGAGAAGGAGGAGGAGGTGGAGGAGGAGGAGGAGGAGGAGGAGGAGGTGGAGGAAGAGCTGGAGGAGCTGGAGGAGGAGGAGGAGATGAAGGAGGAGGAGGAGGAGGAGGAGGAGGAGGAGGAGGAGGAGGAGGAGGAGGACGGGTCGCCGAAGCCCTTGGAGAAACCCTCCACCTCGGCCCGACTGCACTTCGCGCCTCACGCCGTGCTCGGGGGAGGCCGCCGGAGCCCCCGGGGGCCCGCCGCCCTCGGGTCGGGCGTGTCCCCCTGCAGGCGGAGTTTGGACGACGACTAAGAAGTAGTCAGAAAAATAATCAAACAATACCCCCAAGTAGTCGACAAAATCGTCCCCGGACTATCTTTATACTATTTTTTGATATCCTTCCTGTCGTGGCAGAACTGGGTTCAATGGGACCTGGTTTAGTGATGTGTACTGGGGGACGCCCCCCCCGCCCCGTTTGTCTCACCGGAACTGCCGCCACCCGAAAAAAACCAGCTGCGGCAAATGTGGTGTAGTGATTCTGGCCAACTTAGGGGCTCCGGGGCCCTGCCACTAAACGGGTCCCCTTGCCTGCGGTCTTTGCATGGACCCCCCGAGCACGGCGTGGGGCGCGAAGTGCAGTCAGACCGAGGTGGAGGGTTTCTCCGAAGGGCTTAGGCGACCCCTTCTCCCTCCTCCTCCTCCTCCTCCTCCTCCTCCTCCTCCTCCTCCTCCTCCTCCTCAAGCCTCCTCCTCAAGCCTCCCGAGAGGGCCAGGCCCGACTTAAGCCGGGCCCCCGCCCGCGCGGGTCCTCGCGAGCCAGCCGCCGCGCCTCGGCCGCCTCGCGCCGGCGCAGGGCGAGGGCGGCGACGCGCTGGGCCCGCTCCTCCACGGGTCAGCGCAGGGAGATGTTCCTCCTCCTCCTCCTCCTCCTCCTCCTCCTCCTCCTGCTGCTGCTGCTGCTGCTGCTGCTCCTGCTGCTGCTCCTGCCCTGCCTCCTTGACTCTGCTCCGCTCCTGTCCTGCTCCTGCCTCTGCTCTGCTCCTGCTTCCTGCTCCTGCTCATTGCTCCTGCTCCTCCTCCTCCTCCTCGTTCCTCCTCACTCATCCTGCTTTTGCTCCTTCCTCGCTCCTGATCCTGCTCCCTTGCTCCTGCTCTCTGCTCCTTGCTCCTGCGCCTGCCTCCATGCTCCTGCTCCTGCGCCTGGACTCCTGTACGACTCCCTGCTCTGCTCCTCCTCTCCTTCCTCCTCCTCCTCCTCCTCCAATCTCCCTCCCCCGTTCCTCCTCCTCCTCCTCCTCCTCCTCCTCCTCCTCCTTCTCCTCTCTACTCTCCATCTTCTCCTTCTTCTCCTCCTTCTCCTCCTCTCCTCCTTCCTCCTACCTCCTCCTCCTCTTTCCTTCTCTCCTCCTCTCTCCTCCTCCCTCCTCCTATCGCCTCTCCTCTTCCTCTATCCTCCGCCTCCTCCTCCTCATCACTCATCCTCCTCATCCTCCTCCTCCTCCCCTCCTCCTCCTTCCTCCTGCCTCCTCCTCCCCCTACTCCTCCTCCTCCTCCTCTCCGCCTACTCCTCCTCCTCCTCCCTCCTCCTCCTCCTCTCCTCCTCCCCCTCCTCACCTTTCGCCGCCTGAAGGCGCCCTCGGGTGAATCCCCTCCCTCCTCCTCCTACTCCTCCTCCCTCCTCCTCCTCCCTCCTCCTCCTCCTCCTCCCTCCTCCTCTCCTCCTCCTCCATACTCCTCCTCTCCTCCTACCTCCTCCTCCTCCTCCTCCTCCACCCATCCTCCTCCTCCTACTCCTCTCCCTCCATCTCTCCTTCCTCCTCCGCTCCTGCTTCTGTTGCTCCTTCTCCTCCTTCCTTCCTCTCCTCCTCCTTCTGCTGTTTCTCATTCGCCTCCTCCGCCCCGCCTCTCTCCTCCCCCTCCATCTCCTCCTCCTCCTCCTCCCTCCTTCCTCCTCCTCTCCTCCTCTCCTCCTTCTGCTCCTCCTCCTCCTCCTCCTCCTCCTCCTCCTGTTCGTGCTCCGTTTCTTGTCGTCGCTCTCGTGCTCGTTTCCGTTTTCTCCGTCGTTTTCTCGTCTTGGTCCCGTTTTCCCGTTGATCGTCTTCCCGTTCGTGTTCGTTCTCGTCTTCGTGCCGTTTTCGTGTTCTGCCTCCGTTCCGTCCCTTTGCTGCGGAGCGAAACTGCAGCGAGTTGGGGCATTTTTTCCTGTAGGAAAAGTTTTGATGTTTTGGGGTATCTTTGGAATTTTTCGTCGAAGCTCGACTTTGTAGGGGGACGGGCCCGACTTTTAACGATGGGCCCCCGACGGCCCAGCCGCACGCGCCGGGGCGTGGGTGGGCCGTGGGGCCCCCTGTCGGAGATGCACGCACGCAGACACGCAGACACGCAGACACACAGACACGCAGACACACAGACACACACACGCGCACACACACAAAAAAAAACAAAAAAAAACACGCAGACACGCAGGCACGCAGACACGCAGACACGCAGACACGCAAACGCCCACACACATTCACATTCACACACACATTCACATTCACATTCACATACATTCACACACACATTCACACACACACATTCACACACACACACATTCACACACATTCACACATATCCACACACATTCACACACCTTCACACCTTCACACATTCATGCATTCACACATTCATACATTCACACATTCACACATTCACACATTCACACAGTCACATTGACACATTGACACATTGACACATTCACATTCGCATACACGCACACACGCACACACGCACACACGCACACACGCACACACGCACAAACGCGCACACACGCACACACGCACACACGCACACACGCACACACGCACACACACACACACACGCGCACACACACACACACGCGCACACACACACGCGCACACACACGCGCACACACACACACACACACGCACGCACACACACACAAGCCCCAGGATGTCCCCATGCTTTCCCACATCTTCTGGATTCTCGTCTTCCCCCCCACTTCCGATATTTTCCCATGCCCTCCTGGGAATCGACGATTCGTGGTGCCTCTGTGTCCGATGCGCTCCCCCAAAGGTTTCCCGATGGCTCTGGGCCGTGCCTCGGGCCTCTGGCGGCCGCCGGGGACGATCCCGGAGCACCCTCCCGGCGAGGCGCCGCCGCTGGAGAGAGCTGAACCTAAACGTTTTCATATTCATTTTTTTTCGTTTTCATTTTCTTATCGTTTTTCGTTTTTTTCGTTGGAAATTGTCGTTTTCATTTTCTTCTCGTTTTTCCTCGTTCTTGCCTCGAACCCGCCTATACCGCAAAACGAAGTCGAAACGAAACCGGCCCACGGAATCGTCAAGAACACCGTTGAGGTTCAGCCCTGGTTCTCGGCCCTTTTCTTGCAAGTCGGAGCTGAAGACAAGCAAACGCAGCTGACAGCAACGAAGCGCAAGCGGAAAAGAAAGTGTTCTCGGCCCTGTTTTCTTGCAGATCGGAGCCGAAAACGAGCAGACGCAAAGCGTACTCCAGATTTCGTAATAAAAGGGAGGGGGTCTGGACCCTCCAAGACAAGCCATTTCGGACCCCCCCTCGTGGGAGAACCCTCCAAAGCATCGTCCCCAGACCCCCCCCCCAGGCCCTCCAGGATAGCCTGGAGGAGACCCCCCCCGAAATGAGACCCCCTCCCCTTTATGACGAAGTCTGGAGCAGGGAAGACGACGAGTCCGAGCCACGAGAGAGCGCCCGACAAACCCGCCGACGCTGCCCACCCGAGATCTGGACGCCCGAAAGGGGCACGGAACAAAAATTGGCGCAAGGCCCAACAGCAAGTGTTGCCCCGAACCAAGAGCGGCCGCTGGAGCAGGAGGAGGAGGAGCAGGAGCAGGAGCAGGAGGAGGAGGAGGAGGAGGAGGAGGAGGAGGAGGAGGAGGAGAGCAGGAGGAGGAGGAGGAGGAGGAGCAGGAGCAGGAGGAGGAGGAGGAGGAGGAGGTCTTCGGTCTCAGATGGACACGGGCCGCGGCGGCGCGGACATCGAGTCCTGTTCAGAATGAGCCGGATCCGCTGTCGGGCACTGTGCCCATGCTTTCCGTGCCCACTTCGCTCGTGCAGACGAGAGCTCCTCCTCCACCAGGCGCCGGGTGTTCCAGAGCTCCAGGAGGGCCTCCGTCCTGGGGCGGCGCGACTCCTCGGCGGAGGGGCGGGGGGCGAAGGGAGGCGGGGGAGGGGGGGGGGGGGAGGGGGGGATGAGGAGGAGGAGGGAGGAGGAGTGGGAGGGGGAGGATGCGGAGGAGGAGGAGAGGAGGAGGAGGAGAGGAGGATGAGAGGAGGAGGAGGGAGGAGGAGAGGAAGGAGGGGGCGGATGAGGGAGGAGAGTAGGAGGAGAGGAGGAGGAGGGTGAGGAGGAGTAGGATGGAGGGGGGAGTGAGGAGTCAGGAGCGAGCGATAGGATGTTAGGTAGGCGCGAGGCGGATGTGGGGTGAAGGGGAGGGGGAAGAAGCGGGGAGGGGGAAGGGGGTGAGCGGAGGGATAGCGGAGCGGAGGGAGTAGGAGCAGGGGGGAGGACCCGAGCCCCTACAGCATCTGCGGGGGGCCCCCCTCTCGCGCGGGGGTCCGTTCGGGGGGGGGGGGCCCGTTGCCTCCGCGCGGAAAAGGAGGGGCTGCGAGCGCGCAGGGGTGGGGGGGTAAGGCGGGCGGAGCGCAAAGCACTCAGCCACGTCGCGAGGGGGGGCAGTGGGAGGAGGCCGTACTCCTCGTCGGAGGGGGCTGGGGTCGAAGCGGCTGGGGCGACTCCTCGCCGAGGGGGGGGGGGGAGAGGAGGAGGGGAGGAGGAGAGGAATAGGAGGCAAGGGAGGAGGAGGAGGAGGGAGGGAGGAGGAGGAGAGGAGGAGGTAGGAGGAGGAGAGGAGGGAGGGGGAGGATGGGGGAGGAAGGAGGAGTAGGAGGAGGAGGAGGGGAGGAGGAGGAGGAGGTAGGGGAGGAGGAGGGAGGAGGAGGATAGGAGGAGGAGGAGGAGGAGGGGGAGGAGGAGGAGGAGGGGGGAGGGGGGAGAGGAGAGGAAGGAGAGGAGGGAGGAGGAGGAGGAGCGAGGAGGGGGGGGGGGGGGGGGGGGGGGGGGGGGGGGTGGGGGGGGGGGGGGGGGGGGGGGGGGGGGGGCGATGTCCGCCCCGGGACCAGCTCCCAGTGTCCCCGGGGCGAGGATCGCCCGAGCTGCGCCAGGGCACGGGCAGCGACGGGCCCCCCCCCCCCCCGAAGGCCGACGGCGGGCAGGGGCATCTGACACAGTGGAGGCCAGCCCACAAGAGAAGCCCTCCAGAGGAGGCTCGACCCCGAGATCCCAGGGCGTCCCTTGGTTTTTGGTGCGGGGACGTCGCGTTTTCCATCGCAAAAGCGATCGAAGCCCAGGGCACCCTGGAAGCAAGCAGGGTGTTTCTTGGCATGGGTCTCCACTGTAAGACATCATCGGATAAGGAATCGTCAGGGTCTGAAGGCCGGTTGAACACCAGTGGAAGCTAAGCCACGGACGGCACCGCCGCCCTCCTCCGATAAAGAGCCCTCCGGGGTCTGATGAAGGGGCCCCAGGACACACAAATAAATACACACTAATACAAATATTCCCCTATATTTTCTTATAATTTTGGGGTTTTCGTCTTCCCCCCACTTCCCATATTTTCCCATATTTTCTGGGGAATCGAGGATTAATTGTGTCTGTGTGCTTCTTTTCCTCCTGATCTGATGCTGCCTGGGCACATTCCTTAACGAACTCCCCCGCCAGCAAAAATAAGCAGCACTCCCCTCTCCCCTGCAACCCAAAAGTGGCATGTTTAACGCAATACCGCTCGGACACTCAAACTCAGAAAATCCGACACCAACACGGCTTTCGAAGGGAACGGGCGGGAGTCCAAGCCGCCCGTTATACGCGACAGTTGCTTCACTGTTTCCGACGCCTGTTTGATCCTCCATGGCGTCGAGCTTCGCCACCACCTGCTCCCGAGACCTCCCGGCCGACGTCCACGCCCGCGTGTAAACATCGCGCACTGGCAGCCAGTCGGCCTGCATCTCCTCGGGGTCTTGCGCGAAGCGAGGACCTACGTTTATGTCGGGCGTGTCCCCCTACAGGGGGATTTTCGACGAAAAATGAAAAAATACCCCAAGAATACCCCAAAAAGGTCAAAAAATACCCATACCCAAAAAATAGTCCCTGGACTATGTTTGGGCTATTTGTTTGGGGTATCGTTTATTTTTCGTCGAAAATCCCCCTGTAGGGGGACAGGCCCGACTTAAACCTACGTCACCCGACGTCGCGCCTCGTGCCCCGCGATGCGCGATCCTCTGCGCGCCCTCGCGCTGCCCCCCTTGGAGGAGGGCAGCCGCTCCGGCCCGGGCCGCGGCGCGCGCGCAGCGCGATCCTCTCCGCGCCCCTGGGGGTTGACCTGGGCGAGCTGCCTCCTCCTCCTCCTGCCCCTCCTTTTCCTCCTCCTCCTCCTCCTCCTCCTCCTGCTCCTCCTCTCCCCTCCTCCTCCTCCTCCTCCTCCTCCTCCTCTCCTTTCCTCCTCCACTCCTCCTCCTCCTCCTCCTCCTCCTCCTCCTCCTCCTCCCCCACCCCCCCTCCTCCTCCTCCTCCTCCTCCTCCTCCCTCCTCTCTCCTCCTCCTCCTCCTCTCCTTTCCTCCTCCTCCTCCTCCTCCTCCTCCTCCTCCTCCTCCTCCTCGGTCGCAGGAGCTCGATGCCTTCGGCTTTCCGGCCTCGGAGATGCTCTCCAGGCAGGCGCGCCTCGCCCAGGGCGCCCTGGGCGTGCCCGCATCGTCCAGACGGCCGCCAGTGAGTATCGTTTGACCGATCCCCACCCCCAGCGGCGTGGCCTGGGCCCCGCTGGCCGATTGATCCCCCTAGATGGGGATGTAGGTCGTTCCCTTTGGGCTTCGAGGGGTGTATCCCCAAGGGGGGGGGGGAAATCTGGTGGGGGTCTCGAAGGGGATGGGGATGGGGTTGGGGGTCGGACCAACGATACCGAGCCAGAGGCCCGAGCTGTGACCCGAAAGCCTGCGGGCTCTGCGTGAAGAAGGTGAACTGGTTGCGGAAGAAGACCTGCCTCCGCGGTATGGCCTCCACCTCGCGCCACCAGGCCACGACCCGGAGACGAGAGACCGGCACCGGCACGACCTCTCGGAGGTCCGCGCGGATCTCTTGAATCGGCGCCTGGCCCCCTCTGCCGCCGCCGCCGCCGCCGCCGCCGCCGCCGCCGCCGCCGCCGCCGCCGTCGTCGTCGTCGTCGTCGTCGTCGTCGTCGTCGTCGTCGTCGTCGTCGTCCCGTCGTCGTCGTCCCGTCGTCGTCGTCGTCGTCGTCGTCGTCGTCGTCTGCCGGCGCCTTCCGCGTCCGTCTCCGCCGGCCGCCACCGTGCCGCCGCCGCCGCCGCCGCCGCCGCGCGCCGTCGTCGTCGTCGTCGTCGTCGTCGTCGTTTTCGTCGTCGTCGTCGTCGTCGTCGCGTCGTCGTCGTCGTCGCGTCGTCGTCGTGGTCAGGGTGGTGGTGGTGGTGGTGGTGTGGTGGTGGTGTTGTGGTGGTGGTGTTGGTGGTCGTCGTCGTCCGTGGTCGTCGTCGCGCTGGACGCCCCTGGCGAGGCTCCGTCGCCGCCCCCTGCGCCCCGGGGGGGGCCCCCCCCCCACGCGCGCGACGGAGGGGGTTCCAGCGCCGGTTCAAGAAATCCGCGCGGAGCTCCGAAACTTTCTGTTCATGCCGTTTTCCCCTCTCCGAATGAGTCTGTCCAGGTCGGTCGTGTAGGGCGTGGCGAGCGTCGTGTTCACCCAGGCGTTCCAGAAGCGCACGCAGAAGCGCAGGCCCATGCTCTGCGAGCTGAGGCCGCCCTCGACGAGCACGGTCCCCAGCGTCTCCCTGAAGCGCTGCTCGAACGGGGTCGGGCTGTCCTTCCAAGGACGACAAAACGGCTCGAGCACATAGTCGGACCTACAGTCGGACTTGATTGGAGAGGACACGCGAGAGGACACAAGACCCTTCCGAGGGCCACGTTGCTACTGAACTGCAGGAGGCGTGGGTCGCAAGACACAAGACACGCAGGTACCCTCGATCTGGCAGGGTCGACCTACTGATCCGGGCCGCCTGCAGGCCAGAAGAGCATCCCCCGAGAACATGAGACGCGGCGCTGGGCTCCCCTGGCGGGGGCCTCCGTCGCCGCCCCGGGCGCGCTCCGCGCGCGCGCCCCAGGGAGCGAGGTCCAGCGCAGTGCGGGCCCCAAGAATATACACCACCACTACGTCGATTCCTCCTCCCTCCTCCACCCTCATCTTCCTCTCCTCTTTCCTGGGAGAGGAGGGCGATGAGGGAAGGGAGGTGGTGGTGGTGTATACCTCTGGGCCCCGCACGCAGATCCAAGAGATCCTCGCGGAGCTTCGAGAGCTCATGTTCATGCGGTTGTTTCCCCTTCGAGTCCTGCGCATCCTTCATCCGCTGCTTGACAGCCAGCAGCGCCATGTGGAAGTCCAGGACGACGCCCAAGTCCCTGTCGCACCGCGTCACGAGCTCCACCCGGTTCACCGAGATGTTCGCGCGGTGGTAGAACGAGCCGCGGACCCGGTAGCTCACGAGCCCGCGCAGGTGCGTCCGCGTCGAGGGCGGCCACGCCTGATCCTCCTGGCAGGCCGCGGAGCCGCTGGCACCGGGCGCGGGCGTGCCCACGTCCTCGGGGATGCCCGCGTCGGCACAGTCCTTGGGGAACAAAATCTGGAGTCCCGAAGCGGTGCGGTGGCAGACCGTGCGGTGACCTCGGAAACCCAAGAGGCCTCACCGCACGGTCCGTCATCGCACGGTTTTGGGACCTCGGAGGCCCCTGTCGCCCGAGATGTCCTCGGAGAGGGACTCGAGTCCCCAAACCGTGCGGTGACCCCGAATCCCCACCGACTCACCGCACGGTGTGGTCACCACCCTGTTTGGGGGCCCCCGACAAAAACCTGGCGCATCACTGACGCGCCGGCGTGGGGAACCTGAAGAAGCACCAGGCTTCAGGGCAGAAGACCGAGGAGTAACGCGCTGAGGAGGTTGACGGGCCCGTTTTCCAACACCACCACCGTAAGTTGGAGGAGGAAAAAGAAGAGATGGAGGATGAGGAGGAGGAGGAGGAGGAGGAGGAGGAGGAGGCCTCCAGCGGCAGCATGCCACTGATGCTCTTTTGCCCCTCCCGGAATCCCCGGGGAGCTCGAGAGCGCCGCAGCCTGCGTCCGGCTCCTCCCCGGCCAGGCTGGCCGCCAGGCTGCCGGCCAGATCACCGAGGGCCCGGAGGCGACGACAATGACTAAACTCGAGCTGCAGATGAGCTCCCGAGCTCTTAGGCACAGTAATCGGAAGACAATCATGAGGCGCGCTATTTGATAGTATCTGGACCCCTGAAATCAGTCTTCTGGGCTAAACAACTATTCGTACTCTGCTAATTTCTTGGAGACGGTATCGGTTTCCTTGGTCAACTCGCGCTCCAGATAAGCTACAGGGCAGGCAGTACGCGTATTCGCTGGGCAGCCTCGCCGAAGAACCATGGGCGCTCCTGGATACATGCGCTGCTCCCCCGAGGTCCGACGTTGTGAGGAAATCGCAGCGTCGCGACACATCACGACCAGAGCCCTAGACACGAGCTCCCTGCGGCACGTTTCCAACCGCACCGAAACCGGGCGAAAGCACGCCTGGTGCGGACAGAAATTGCAGCGCCTGGATCTCGGCGCCACTCGACCCTATCCAGGGGAACGAAACATGGCAGAAACAGAAAAACTCGAAGGTCCGCGCGGATTTCTCGGATCCGCGCTGGACCCCCCTCCCTGGCGCGCGGAGCGCGGCAGGGGCGGCGCCGGAGGCGCCGCGAGGGGGCCCCAGTGCGGATCCGAGAAATCCGCGCGGACCTCCGAGCTTCTATGTTTGTGTCATTGTTCGTTCCTCGGGCATCTTCTGACCCTGGTCAATCCAGACCGGGGCCAGTCAGGCCCTGCAGGATCCTGCAAGGTCCTGCGCCCAAACCCAGGTCAACGCGAAGGATCCCGCAAAATCCTGCAGGATCCTCCACTCAAGCCCGGGTCCATGCGACCCTGGCCCTGCAGGACCGGCCGCTCAAGCTGACCCCCATTTGCACTGACCCCCGTCTCTCGGCGGTGGACAAACCTCCCTTTCGCAAACCACCCTTTCGTGAAAACGGCCTAGGACCGAAACCGACGGACCTGGACCCGCAAAAACCACGGCCGCCACGCCCTCTCGCGAACCGAAAACGGCCAATTCGCCAATCGACGTGCCAAGGTAGGAGGTCTATCAACCTCCGAGTCTCAAGGCTCCCGATCGTTCCCCTACAGTGCGGGTGCGGCCGCAAGAAACCCTCGCAAGAAACCCGACCCTGAAAACCCGGGAAGCCCGGAGCACGCTGAACGCAGCAGCTTCTTCATCGGCTGCGGGAAGTCACCGCGCAACGCGCGGAGCGAAGAAGCCCAGAATTGCGAGGCGGGGATTTATCCATATCCACCGCCTGGGAACCGACGCCCTGGTGCCCCAGCGAGCGGTGGATATAGATACATCTTGGCCCCCGGGAGCCCGAACATACCCATATCCACCGCCTGTCGAAGTCCCCGAAAATTGATCCTCCAGGCGGTGATCATGTATAAATTCCCGCCTCGCAAGGAGACCCTGACGAAAAGCATATGGTCTCTTGATGCGGGCCCCACCCCTACCGTCTAGAATCATAACAAAAACACATAACCATAAACTTTTGGCGCTCCGCGCGGATTTCTTGCATGCGCGCTTGGCCCCCCTCCCCTGGCGCGCGGAGCGCGCCAGGGGCGGCGCCAGAAGCGCCGCCCGGGGGCCCGGGCGCGGATCCGAGAAAGCCGCGCGGAGCGCCAAAAGTTTATAGGTCTACGTCGTCTTTTTCTTCCCCCACTATCGTGGGAAACCCGGAAATTGGCACCAACACCAACACAGGGGGTTGCCTCCACAGGGGGAATATGATCCTCGATTCCGGTGTCGGTGGTAATGTTTCGGTGACCCTGGAAGCCAGAACATCACCACCCTCACCGAGGTCGGGACCTTCTTCGATTCTTCCCTCGGCGGAAAAGCACACCGCCGACCTCGGTGTGGGTGTCTGTCTCTGGGCCTGCGATGTCGTCGCCTCCGGTGCTGGCCAGGTCGCCGAGGGCGAGGGGCTCCCCGGCGACGCTCCGCTCGGGCCCCTCGCCCTCGGAGGTGGAGGAGGAGAGGAAGGAAGGAAGGAAGGAAGGAAGGAAGGACGGAAGGAAGAGGAAGGAATAAAGGAGGAGGAGACCCTGAGGCGGGAGGAGGAGGTGCACCAGGATAAGCTGAGGTGAGGGGAGTGCAGGAGGCAACAGAGAGGAGGAGAGAGGAGGAGAGTATGATCGCTTCCGGCTCGGCTCCTCCCTCCGGGCCGCAGCCGCCGCCCTCGGAGCCGCCGGCGGGGCCCGGGGCCCCCCGCGCGGGCGCGGCGCGGGGCGCCGCTCGCGCGGCGCAGGGCGAGGCAGCGCCGCCCGCCGTGCCGGCGCGGGCGGCCCTGCGTTGTCCAGCCTCGAACGTCTCCCTACCCCTGAGATTGACACGCCAAAGGGCGACGACAAGCTTGGGGGTTCGCCCTCGAAAAAAAATAGGAAAGGGAATCTCCAAGATTGCCATCGTGACGAGGAGGTGCCCGGCATAGGGATAGGGACATGTTCCAGGCTGGTAACCTGCGTCATCCAGCGCTCATTCAAGGGGCCCAAGGACACACAAATAAATACACACAAATAAAAGGATTCCCGATATTTCCATGTTTTCTCGGTTTCTGTCTTCCCGCCCAGTTCCAATATTTTCCCATGTTTTCTTGGGGATCGACGATTGGTTGTGTCTGTGTGTTTTTTTTTCCCCTCCTGCGTCATCCAGCGCTCCAGGGCGAGGCGCTGCGCCTGCGTCAGCTGCTCGCAGAGGACCTGACGAGCCGGGCGCTGGAGAAGATCTGTCGCGTCGGTACGCTGGCGAGCGTGTCCCCGCCGAGCTTGTTTCGGGCCCCGGGGCCCTCGCAGGGCGGTGCGGTGTGGCTCGCAGGGCTGCCGCAAAAGCAAAAAAGGAAAGGAAGGAGGCGGAGGAGGAGAGGAAGGAAGGAAGGAAGGAAGGAAGGAAGGAAGGAAGGAAGGAAGGAAGGAAGGAAGGAAGGAAGGAAGGAAGGAAGGAAGGAAGGAAGGAAGAAAGGAGGAGGAGACGGAGGCGGAGGAGGAGGTGGAGGCGGAGGAGGAGGAGGAGGAGGAGGAGGAGGAGAAGGAGGAGAAGGAGGACGACCGTAGCCATGTTGGCTCAAGTTCAAACACCACGCCCTGGGTGCTTGAACTTGCCCGCAGCCGAGGGGCAGGACCAAGTCCCCGCGCCTGGTCGACAGGAGACCCTTTCGGCAGCCAAGACGTTCCGAGCGGGGGCAAAAATTTGTCTTGCCCTCCACATCCTTTCGCCCCAAGCTCCAGGTCCTTTCCCAGCCCTGGCTCTCATGTTCAGAGACGCCTCTCCAGATGGCGCAATGGGCAGCGACTTGGACATGCAAGTGCGGGCGGGCAACAGAACTGGCTGAAGGTCACCAATTGCAGCAAATGCGGCCCGCATTGGAAGACCTCAGCTGGACAGGAACCGAGCGGCAAGCCAGACAGACGACGCCAGGGGTCCAACAGCCAGAAGAGCATCGATTCGAGGCCCTACATCCCTCGTCGAAATTGAAAGCAAGTTTTAGCCGCGACCTGGCGGCGCCCCCCGACCTCCAATTTCAATGTTCACGCCGACGCTGGCGACTTCGAGATTTTCTTCGGACCCCGCCGGCCGCGATGCGCCTGCCGATGAACATTGAAATTTGGGGACGACGGGCGTGGAAAAAACTTGCGTTCAATTTCGACGAGGGATGTAGGAGGGCGACGTGGAGGAGGAGGTCAAGGGACAACCCTGCGTCAGGATGGCTACTCCGGCGGAGGCGCAGGCCAACCCCGATCACAAGCGTCTGTCTCCCAAGGCCGACGAGAGCGAGAAGAAATCATACTACGAAGAGACGGGGTCCAAGCTCAATCTGCTCCAACAGAGGTACAAGATCGCCTGGGCCATGCAGGAACCAGTCCAGGGCATCGTCGATCATATTACAGTTCTACGCATTCTGTTGCTCTCAGAACAATCACTGGAGGAGCAGAGCGCATGGACAGAGACTACCATTGCCAGAATGATGCCACGAGTAGATGCCGCCAACAAAGCAGTGGAGATCCGGCAGAACATCCTGGACAGAAAAGTATCAATGAGAGACAATCTTCAGGATAAATACGAGGCACTGCGTCGCACCAAGAATGAGATCCGTGCCATGATCCAAGAAGAACAATACTAATCATAATGCAGAGCCCACGAACAGGACCTGCGGATGGAGATCGAGACGAAGCGCGCTGTGCAGGAGGAATCGATTCCCCATGCGCCTTCAGAACCACAGCAAGAAATTCAAAAGCAGATAGCACGCCACATCCAACCGGTGGTCCAGACGCAGTAGATGCAACAGATGATGCAGCAGGTGCACATTTCCCAGCAGCCCATGATGCAGCACATACCTCAGACTGCGACCACGGCACCAACTTCGCCATGCCCTACCACGAATGCACCATCATCTCCAAATTTGATGTTGACCCCGACAGAGCCGTTCGAGCCCTTGCCGAGGCCCCAGGCTCAACAAGGCGCAGCAC